GGGCACTCCAGCAGGGTGTTACGTGTGGCGCGTAGCGGAGCATGCGACGCCGGGCGAGGCGTGAGCCGCTCGGGGGGGAGGGGGGGGGGGGGAAAGGAAGACTTCGTGGTGCACGGGAAAACAGACCTGCGGGGGGGGGGGCGGGTAATGCGGGGGCGAGGGAAGGGAAACTTTCAAATTTAGCAGGATAGTTAACTCTTGTTAACTCTGCTTGTGATCTGTAGTCACAATTCTTCTTTTTTTATTTTTTTTGTGTCTAATTTTTGTGATCTTCAGATAAACTTGACTGCTACACTCTGGGAGATGTGATTGGCCGCGGTTCATTTGGAGAGGTCATTGCAGCCACGCGTAAGGCTGACAAACTTCCGGTAAGAAATAAAGATAGTTAAATGCTTTCTTGGGTGATAAAAAAATGTTAAAATAAAAGTGTCAAATCTTCCAAAAATAAACAAAAATTGCTGGAAACATCATATACAATGGAAGGCGAAGAAAACCATGTTACCATTTTTATACCATTAATATTAGGCCCAGGCCAAGCGTCGAACTTTTCATGAGACGAACCAGTTCCTTCATGAAAAGTTCGACGTAAGGCTCAGTTAAGTTCGTCTGAATGAGTTTGGATTGAATGTCCAACCAGGAGCGTGGCGTCGATATTTGCACATACGCCTCTGCATGCAGCTGAAATCTGGAAAAAAATATATTTTCTATTTCCTGAAAGCATTTTTATCGTTAAATGGGGATGACATAAATTTTTCTCATTATATTGGTGTATTTGCCTGTCTGAAGGTTAGACGTATCGCTCTTTGTTGTAACCTCCTTAATGGCGTCACTCTTTTACACTTTTTTAAACCGTAAACGCTGATAACTCTAGGGATGGGTAAATAAAAAACTAAGTACTGCATTTTCCTTCGTTTTTATTTGCTGAAGCCAGTGCCCTGCGGAAAACGCAAGAAATGGCATTTCCTAGACCCTAAAATTAAGACCCCCCCTAGTTTGGAGGGCCCTCCGCGCTTTAACGCTCAGTTCCCGTGCGTACAGCTCCAAAAATCTCACGTTACGCCCCTACCAACACGTTGTATCCGTCTGCTTCAGACGGATTTAGCGTCTGAAGATCTTCTCCGGGACAAACGTCGATCTTCACATGTGACGAACTAAACTAATAACTTTTAAGTTATTAGTTTATGAAAATAATTTGTATGATAATGCATATTTAGTCTCGTTCGGAAGAAAATTTGTTAAAATTGCTTTTTGGTCTGATTCAGTTGATTGGTTCCATTTTACCAAGTTCGACGTCTGACCCAACAGACGATCATAACTTAAATTAAGTTGACCAAAATAAGAGTTGGTTCTTCTCATGAAATGTAGGACGTTTGCCCTTGGCCTTAGTATGTTTATGTCACTGTCAATCTGAGAATGAGTCCTTTTTCCTTGAGGGAAAAGTTAAGAAATGTTCGTTTTATTTGTTGCCGGTGGATTCTTCCGTACTAGTATGGTCATCTCGGCAGTTAACCGTAAATGTCAACTTTAACCATCCCTATCCGGTTTGTACTAATAGGTCAGATAGGTTACAAGATAAAAAAACTACGCTTCTTAAGCGTAAGAGAATGTCCCATTAATCTGGAGTTGTAAGTGATAAAAAAATTGATAGTGACTGATTTACCACTTTTTATCATTTTTCCTTCTCAGGTGGCTATTAAATTTGTCAGAAAACATTCCGTAAAGGAGTTTAAAGAGGTTAGTCTGCGAACGTAATGGGAAAGACATCTGAAAAACACACACTCCCCTCGTCACCGTGACACACAAAATATTTGTTAATACTGGTGTTTTTGAAATCACCAAGGTACATTTGGAGATAGGTTTAACCACTTCATTGTCCTCTTTTGCTTCAGCTTAATGGTAGACAAGTTCCAGCCGAAGTTTATCTGCTGAACAAGGTTCAACATAACAACGTCATCAAGATTTACGATTTCTTTGCAACGGAAGACTATTACGTCTACGTTATGGAAAGACCACATATTTGCGAAGATTTGAGTCGCTTTTTACTGAAGAGAACACTCAGCGAGGATGAAGCAAGAAGCTACTTCTCGCGGATTGTAGAGGCCAACATCAGCTGCGAGGAGAATGGGGTCGTTCACAGAGATCTCAAACCCTCGAATATCCTGGTTGATTTGGAGACTGATGACGTCAAATTAATTGACTTTGGTTTAGCTTCCGAGATTCAATATGAGCCTTACAACCTGTTTAGAGGTAGGCCACAAGGAGAGGTTCAGCAATCAGAGCAATGCAGACTAGCGGAAGGGTAAAGTTGTAATCAGGAGCGCAGAGGGTTATGATCTGCTGAAAAAAGCGTTTCGCTGATCTCTTACCATCTGCTAATAAAAACCAGTTCGTCCTAGTCGCAAGCAAAACGAGCGTGGAGCGAGCATTGTGATTGGTTATTCTTGTGCTTCAGTTAAGGACTGCTGTAATGTAGTTTTCATTAGATCACAAGCAATGGAGTTACGTTCTGATCCTTACGTCTCCGATTTCTCTAAGTCATCAATCTGCTTGCTTAAAAATACTTGTATCATAAATATCATTAACACTGATGGAATATTATTCTAATGAAGCGTTTTACATGTTTCAGGTACAAGGGCTTATATGGCGCCGGAATACCTCCGATTCGGTTGGTATGATGGCTGCCAGGCAACAGTCTGGGCTCTAGGGATGATCTTAGTGGAAATGCTCTCTCCATATATGGCGTTCAACAGACCTGAGCAGGCTTTCAAAATGCCGCCCAGAATCCCGAAACATCTTTCAGCAGGTAATACACGGTAATATTAACCAATTTGTCTGACCAAAAGCTGTCTGTC